ATACATGTGCAAACAACTAATGCGATTTGAGCGGAAATCTATTCGATTTTCCTTTACGTTAAAATTCGTTAATTTTGAATAAATTTGTTTTTTTATAAAAATTAAACTATAGTAAATAGATTTTTCATGTTAGGAGACATTACTTATAAAAAGAAAAATGATCAAAAAAAAAAAAAATCTCTAAGACTTATTATAAATGATATATTCGCAATCTTTAAGTGCAAAAAGAAATAAAAAAAATAAAAAGAGAATCATTATTGTTAAAATTTTAGCCGGAATAAACTGGGAAAAAAAAAATATATATACATATATATATATATATATATAGGCTCAAGGTAACACTGAATAACCCTCTCTTCTCCTGTAAAATGGGTTTACACTTTACATCAATCATGATTTATGATTAGTTACAAGATTTACTCCTTGAAAGTAAATATATATATATATATATATATGTATACATACACACAAACACACCCGTCAAATTGAGAGGTAAAATTGGTGTCATTGTTAAGTGATACACTAAATAAGAGAAAATTAAACTATTTTAGCGATCAAAGGGAAAGAGTTAAAAGAGAAGAACGAATTATGCAAAAATAATGGATCGTTGTGCAGTTGTTTACCAAAGTTTTTGAGGGCGAAAAGTGGTGGATCCATATGTTGATTGAAGCATCTGAACGAACAACGGAAGTTGCAGCAATGCAAACATTGAAACTGGGAAAGACGCTAGCAAAGCAATGGGAATTGAGATCCATTTTAGTCTCTCACTAAGTACTATCGACAGAGTTGCACAGAAAGCGACCATCATTGCAGCTATGGCAAAAAAGAGTGAGGCAAAACCAATTATCAACCTCTTCGGCAGTGACCTCAAGAAATCTTCCTCCGCGTAACGAGCAGTTAGGATAGACAAGAACATCAACAAAGATGTGGTAGAAAAAAACAAAGCCCCTGAATTAGACACCACAAACACCATAAATGAGTTTGTCCAAAGAAAAAATGGAATCCCCGTATCCTCTTTGTTGCCGCCCGGAACAGTAAAAGCAGCAGCAAAAGCAACTGTAGCAATGAGAGTTGCAACAACCATGCAAGAATTTGATGTTCCTTTCATCCATTCCTCTCCTTTCTTTACTAGCTCCTTGTGTTCTTCGGTGAATACTTCCCATGCGGTTCTCTTCTCGTGGTTTTGAGCGTTCCTGTTAAGCATGGGAGGCATTAATTTCTCCACTTCCTATATATAAAACATATCCCACAGCATTGTCAATATAGGTTCAACTTACAATTTAGTAGGCAACTCTAATAACAAAAATTATTGGGTGCTGCAGATAAGTTGACAAATATGTAAATTTGATAGTAAGGAAACAATAAAATATCGCAGCTTATTTCTTGCCGTAATCAAAGAGGAAAAAAGTTATTACCTTAAACCACTGCAACTCCCTCTGCATTTGTAGAACCGAACCAGAAATAGAAGATAGTTGTCTCGGAGGTGCCAACTTTGCTGCTAGATGCAAGATAGTGTTTTTGGATCCATCAGATTGAAGAGCCAATGATCTACTCATGTTCATGTCTTTAAGAAGATTGAAAACATTTTCTTGTCTCATTTCTATAGCAGCTTGTAACAGATTCCGTTCTCGTGCTACGGGTAACCAAAACAGATCAGGAAAATATTGGAGGCTTATACTTATAATTTCCACTACTCCATAGTATATTGCAACATTCAGGATGTCTGTTCTAGTGAAA